GTGGTGCAAGGCCTGGTCTCCTCCACTGTGGGGGGTGACTCCTTGTCTCCTGCAGAAAGTAAAGTGTAACGGTTATGTAACAACACAGTGGGAGGGTTAGGAGCAGGGGTGGAACACTGCCTGCTGCCGGAAGTAACCAGCTGCCAGTGCTCACCCTGCACCACCTCCTCCTCCATAAGTGGCAGGTCAGCAGTCCCACATCCTAGGACAGTGACCTCAGTGGACTCCACAGGAATATTGTCCAGAGATTCTTTATGGCCTCGAATGCTCCTCAGCCTGGCCACCTCCTCCTGTAGCTCTCCCACCTGCTGCCTGAGAGATTCCACCAGCAGGCACCTTTCACAATGGTTGTCTCCCCCAGCCTGGATATCAGTCAGTGGGAATTGCAAGCCACAAATACTGCAACACCAACCAGGACCTGGGTAGAGGCATCCATGCTCAGGTTCTCTGTCTGGATACAGGCACAGGTGGAGGAGACAGGAGAAGTACTGGCACAAGCGCTTCGGGTCTTCATCACCATCAGTCACTCCCTCTGCTCAACTCCCTCTTCAACTCCCCTGTGTGCAGTCCCCTGTCTGCTTCGCTCCCCTGGTCGCATTGCTCTGGCTTTTTAAGTCATAGCATGTGGTGTTAGTTTATGTTAGGTTTCTCATTCCTTCACCATCAGTCTAACCCCAGTTTTGCTCTTCTATCAGGCCAGAGCTGGTCAATTATAGAAAATTATATATATTTTGTATACAGCTCTAAGGCAATCCACATAAACAGTGTTAAGAAACTTTTCCGATCCTGGAGACCTTACAATTAACATAGACAAGGCAGCAGAGGGTGAGAGAAAACTGGTAAGTGAGAATAGTCATTTTTTCTTAGGAGTCTGCATGGTGAGATAAATAGGAGCTTAGGGAAAAGTAAAAGGGGAAGATGATGTGGTGGAAAAGTAGGGGGAAAGGGCAAAGGAGAGGGAAGATGAGCTGGGGAGTAGACTGACCCAGGGGAAATAGGATGGAGAAAAGTCCCTCTTATAGATTTAGTTTTGTCTTTGCTACATCAAGTCCTGGAGTTTGCTTTTCTGTAGACGTGTGTATGTGCTTGCACTGATTACGATTCTTGTGGGAATACCAAGCCCAAACTCCTGAGACAACCCTTACTTATCAGAACTGTTTCCTTGAGTGTCTTCAGGGGGCATGGCTACCCACAGCTCCCAGTGGTCACACTTTGCCATTCCCAGCCAATGGGAACTGTGGGCAGCAGCAGCCAGCACAACCATGTGGCCTGTGTTACTTCCTACAATAAGCTATTCCTTTTCACAAACAGGAGTTACTATTTCAAAATAACAAGCCCGTTATTTTGAAATGACGGGCTTAGAAGTGTGGACACTTGCCTTGTTAATTTGAAATAAGGGGCGTTATTTCAAAATAACTCCCCAATGTAGAAATGCCCCTAGAGTTCTCTCTGCAAGTGTCTTATCCTTTCTCTCGTGAAACTCAAATTTAAAATTTTCTCAGCACTTCATACAATAATTTGCTCTTCTAGGATCCAATCTTCCTCCATTTGGAGTCACCAAGACAGTTTTGTGAATGGTTTCAATGAGAAGATTTAGGACCTAAATCTTTCCTGATAAACACAACTGGCCCATGTGAAATACCAGGGTACAACCCTGACCATCGAGGGGCTGTGTCGCTCCTGCACTACAACCTTGCAGGTATTACAATGCCTTGCGGAAGTAGCTCAAACCTGGACCAATCACAGCTTTCCAGCATGCAAGCCACCCCCTATGTAGGAACAGCCTGCCAACCACATTTGAGTTATGCTCCAGTTCTTACCAGCTTTGGTTGTACTTCATGGTGACGCCTAACACTCCTTTAGTCTCTCATTTTCTCCCAGAAATGTATGTCCTACACTGCCCAGATCGCTCTTAGAAAGTGCAAATAATTTAAGAGATTAATAAGAGATAATTAAATAATAAGAGATATTAATAAGAGATAATTCTCTTAAATAAAATAATTTAAGAGAATAATTATTCTTTAAGAGAATAATATGAATACAACTTATCACCCAAACTGAGTTAACCAGACACTTCAACTTGAACATACTGGATTAGATAAAACAAGCTTAGTAAATAAGCATAAAATGAGGCATAAAAGTCAGAAATGGCTACAAGAAGACTAATGATAAGACATTTACAAATCCCTAGCTTAACAAACTGTAACAGATTCAAGCAAAGTTTCTTACCAAAGGCTTTCAGCACTCATAGGGTATGTCTACACTACAGAGAAGAGCGAAGCTGAGGCTGTCAATCTTCCAGGGTTTGAAATAATGGGTCTAGTGAAGACACGCTAATTTGAACTGAGTGAGGCACTCTGCTCAATACAAGTAGCCCTGCTTCCACGAGCAATAAGGGAAGTTGAAGTGCCAAAAGTCAAATTAAGGTACTTCGACTTCAGCTATACAATTAGAATCATATAATACTAGAACTGGAAGGGACCTCGAGAGGGCATCAAGTCCAGTTCTGTGCCCTCACGGTAGGCCCAAGCACCATCTAGATCATCCCTGATAGATGTAACTGAACTAATGTAGCTGAAGTTGGGTATCTTAATTTGACCTTGCCCCATAGTGTTGACATACCCTGATAAATAAGGACCCTCCCCCAGACTCTAACAAATGCTTCCTTTTTCACTTCAGGTGCAGTGAATGTGATGGGTGGTGGGGGGAGGGGGGGGAGAGAGAGAGAGAGAGAGAGGAGTGTACCTTGGGGTGTGTGCCTTCCTTTTTATGGTTTCAGTCCTGCCTTTTGAAAAACATATTTCCTAGTTGGGACTAGAAGAGTCTATGTGGAAGGATGTTCCCTGCTTCCCCCTCACCTGTTTGAGCTTTCTCTGTTTCCCTTCTTGCTTGAGCACTCGGTTCACTGTTTAAATGCAAATTAAGAAAAGCACAAATTCCTTTAATTAGGACAAATCTGTTTGCTGCCTTCTGTTTGGGCAGGGCTGTAGGGTTTTAAATCTATGTTAATAACAGCATTAAGGGAAATCTTGTAACTTCACATCTGGTGTTGCCACACATTTTATCAGGATGATAATGAATAGCAAATTATGAATTTTCAAGTGATATCTTACAAGCAACACTTTCTACAAAGATTATTACAGTAGCATGTAGCATGTGAACAGAGGATATATTCTGTCAGCCCCATACTTATTTTTTTTTCTGGGTATAATTACATTAGTGTTAGAGGATGAACTATGAATTAAATAATATTGAAATAAGAGATCACTAACTTTGGGTGTTTTTCATTTTTGATCAACTGTGCATCCAGTCAGTTATTCTCAAATGAAGAGGAAGATGGTGCTATTGCTTAGATACCCAATATTCTTAAAATTTTCCCACCTTGCGGAAATTTCAGTTTGTAACTATGGTATCCAATGATTAAAATTAATATTTATTCATTTAGATATAAAAAGACATAAAAGAATGTTAGCCCAAGCTCTAATTAGCCTTGCCACTGGTTAAAAATAATACCCAAATCATTACAACAGCCAGAACATCAGCACATTCCCTCTGCACCTTCCTGCACATATCAATAGCAAGTAGCAGACACATATTACAAATCAAGGTCCTAATTCTACACTTATACATGCTTAACTTTATGCATACGAGTAGTCCCGCTGAAGTCAGTAAGGGAAAAATGTTTAAAATGTTAATTTTAACAATAGAAATAGAAAAGGAAAAATGAAAATCCTATTCATATTACTGGGTTTTTTTCTGAGAATCTGAAATATAAAGAGTATTTGATTTTCATTCCAATCTTAGAAACATACATGTGCTTAATCTTCATCATGTGAGTAGTTCTATATATTAAGCAAGTGTGTAAGTATTTAGAGGATTAGGGCCCAAATCAAAATCTTCCCACTTTGCAAATTCTCAAACAAACCCCAGTGAGAGAAATTAATAATCTGATTTTCATTGTTTGGTCTAATCTGATTGTTAAAAGTCAATTTTATAATGTTTAATTTGATACATTCCATTTTTAATACAGCCTTAACCTCTCTAGTCCAGCAACATCCATGGTCCACCATGATTTTAATTAGCCAGATGTCCACTTATCATAGTGTGGCCAAGTTTGCCATTGTCCCACATTGCTAGCTCACAGTGTTCTGGGCTATTCTTTAACTCTAATTTTCCCCTAAATGTCTCCTAAGAGCCCAGTAAGCAAAGGAAGTGTTGGTAATGCTGCTAGTCGATATCAAGCTCCTGTGGTTCGGCAAATTCTCTGGTTTAGCACCAGTCAGGTCCCAAGGATGCCAAATTAGAGAGGTTCAACCTGTATATGTTCCTGTTTAGTCAAATAGAAAAGCATTATAAGGCTTAATGTTTTTTTAGAAATACATATTGTATATTTAAAAATTTCTTTTTATCCTCAACAGATTATACTTCTTGATGAAGCCACAGCCTCCATTGATTCTGGAACTGATGCACTAATTCAGTGCACAATCAGAGATACATTCAAGGATTGCACTGTCTTAACCATTGCACATCGCATAAACACTGTTCTGGAGTCTGACCGTATTCTGGTTATGGACAATGGAAAGGTAAAGAATTAAAGAAGTTAGAAAAGAAAAAGACCTGATAGATCATCTTATCCATCACTCTGCCACTGTACATTTGTTCCCTCATGTACATTTACCAGTGCTATGTCTGGTCTACTTTAAAATGTCTAAAACTCCAGGGCTTTCAGTACTTTGGGAAAAACTTTTCTACCACCTAATAGATCTCATTACCTTGAGGCTTTTTCTCAAATCTCTTAATTTCTTCCCATTATTCCCTTTTAAACCCCAAACCAACCAAATTATTCTCATCATCCTTGATGTTTAGACTCTTAAAATATTTAGATTTTGGCTATGGTCTCCCCTCCCCATTTCCTTTCATTATTGCTCAGCCAGACTCTACGGCTACGTCTACACTGGCCCCTTTTCCGGAAGGGGCATGTAAATTTCACTAGTCGTCGTAGGGAAATCCGCGGGGGATTTAAATATCCCCCGCGGCATTTAAATAAAAATGTCCGCCGCTTTTTTCCGGCTTTTAAAAAAGCCGGAAAAGAGCGTCTACACTGGCCCCGATCCTCCGGAAAAAGCGCCCTTTTCCGGAAGGCACTTTTTCCGGAGGATCGGGGCCAGTCTAGACGCTCTTTTCCGGCTTTTTTAAAAGCCGGAAAAAAGCGGCAGACATTTTTATTTAAATGCCGCGGGGGATATTTAAATCCCCCGCGGATTTCCCTACGACGACTAGTGAAATTTACATGCCCCTTCCGGAAAAGGGGCCAGTGTAGACGTAGCCTACTTGTTTAACTTTTTAGGGCTCATTTCTGTAATGTGCTGAACATTCTGGCCCCAATCCAGTAAATAAGTTTAATGTTAAGAACAAATGGCTTCATTGGCACATAGTTACATGTTTTTGCTGGATCAGACCCAGAATAACTCAGTACCTTGCAGGATTGAGCCTTTTTGAAAATAAATCAGAGCTCTTCTACTCAGGAGAGTTACATTGGTATAAACTAGCTTATGAATTTAAATGGATAATCTTATTCTGGTATAAGAGGGTTTCTTTGTTTTAGCTTATATTGCTTATGAAAGCGTTTAAACTAAACTGAAAAACACCATTCATATTCTGGATGGAGTGTGTCCATACCAGAGTTTGTCCATGCATGTACGGAGAGTTGTATCCCTTTAACAATATTGGTATAACTGGAAAAACTTTCCCATATCGACTAGTCTGGAGTCATTTCAGCCTCTTAAACATTTTTGTTGCTCTTCTCTGAATTTGCTGTTTGTTGATAGCATTTTGGCAATTAGGTGGATAGAATGGTATGCAATATTCTGGGGACAGTCACTGCAGTTACATTGATTTTTAATCTAACTGTTATGTAAAGTGATGCTTCTGGCTCTGATCCTTGTCGGCACAAATTTTGAAGGGGAAGGAAAGAAAAGATGGAAATTGTGACTTTTGACCTTTTGCGCTAGTACCACTAGAGGAGTCTTGATTATGCCGGCTGGTAATGGCCTCTACAAGACTATTACATCAGCCAGCAATCAACTGAACCTTAGTACTGCTCTGACTATGCCCCCATCCTTCACAAGCTAATAAACTGTCTTTTAAGTAATATAGAAATGTCTCATCTGATACATTTTTGGCTCCATTTATTATCTTGTAGAATTCTCGGGGTCATAGTTTACCATGGTTATGAGGCACTTAGGTTCAGAGTATCATGAATTGGTTCACAAATGTTTCCATCTCACTCTTCTCTAGTGCTAGTGTTCTATAGCAAAGCTATATTGCCATTATTACTTTATGGGTGCATCTAGAAAATCTTGCCAGCTGTCTAAACTGGCCGCGAGAATTTGCACAAGAACACTGACAATCTAATGTAAGATTGTCAGTGTTCTTGCGCAAGAACTCTGACACTCCCACTCAGGAAAAAGCCCTCTTGCGCAAGAGGGCCAGTGTAGACAGGGACAGGAATTTTTCGCGTAAGAAATCCCCGATGGTGAAAATGGCCACCAGAGTTTCTTGCACAAAAGCGTGTCTATACTGGGCACAGATGCTTTTGCACAAAAGCAAATCTTTTGTGCAAAGGCACTTGCCAATATAAACGTTCTTTTGCAGAAATACTTTTAACAGAAAAACTTTTCCGTTAAAAGTATTTCTGCAAAATCATGCCAGTCTAGACGCAGCCTATATGTAATATTTTTAAGGTCAGAAGGGATCAACATCCTCATCCAAAGATGATTAATATAGTGTGAAACTCAAACATTTGTGTTTTTTCTTCCTATTTGACATTCATTAAATATATTTTTTTAGGTAATTGAGTTTGGCACGCCCGAAGAACTTGTGCAAAAACCAGATTCTGCATTTGTATCACTCTTGGCTTCAGCAAACAAAGTGGCATCATAGAAGACGTATTTTGTTTTGGTCGTATGATCGTTGGAGATGGATCTGTGATATAGATTAAAAATAAGGACATTATTAGACTGCCATGTTAACTTCCAGCAACAAGATCCTGTTAGAAATTAACGTTGTGACCTTTAGCTGAAAGTCATACCACTACCAGGCATATAGCACCACCTAAAAAGACTAAGGATTAAGCTAGTATAAATGCCAGATGAATCAACTGCTTACTTGACATCAGGTTTGAAGTCTGGAATTTAAGTGTGTGTGTCATATAGTGCACCAAGCCAGTGGAAACTACAGAAATGTACCATTTTACATTACTGCATTATATAACAGTTCAATATTGTACCTCCTATAAAATATAGATAAATGATGAAACACTGAAAAATGCAAGACAATATTTTAAAAAGTTTATTATAAAATTAAAAGTTTATGGAGTAAGAGCTGATTAATATCTTTCACTTTAATGTGCAACAGATGTGTTCATTCAAGGCATGAAACATGGTTTATTGACACGTTTGGTGTAAAGATTATTATCCTGTATATTCCATGTGATCGATTAATCATTACAGACTGGTAAACAATAAAATATTTCATCCATTGAAGCTTAAGTTTCAATATTGTTATCTTGCTCCGTGGCCTGGATCAGTGCAGGCATAGTCAGTCTCCAGTGCATGTGAAAATTTGCATTATATACCTCCTTTTGTCAATTGCATATTATGCATGAAAAGGTACCGGACATACATCTAAAGGCTGCAAGTCGCCTTTCTTGACCCCCTATTTAGCTCTGCCACTGATCTTGCTGTTTGTCATTCAAATATATTGCTCAAAACACCTGACACCAGAGCTTCAGATAACTTGTCTTTCTGCAATATTATGTGTTCAATATTTCCTATGAAGGTCCACATTTTCAGGAGACCTCTTTATCTGAGGGCCCTTTTTAAAATGGAAAAATCAGGATTTGGCTGTGTACAACAGATATGTGCATGAAGATGCCCTGGTATGTGCTTCTATAAATGCATATGCCAAATACCAGAGACATTTTCTGAAGGAGAAGGGGTTTGATATGCAAATGCTCATCCCAAAGGAAAAAATAAACTATACTAAGTTAAATTGTTCAACAATTGTGTAAGAGCTTCATGTTGATCATATAATGGAATACTCTCTTACACAAAAACTTATCATGTCGTTGTAATGACACAGAAGCACCAAAGACTGCATTGATCATTGATAGTTTGAATCATAATCTTAGTTTGAATCTCACCTAAAGGCAGCATGTGTTTTTATGTCTTAATTATTCTGAGCACAAAAGAAAACAATACTTCTCAGTGACTGAAAATAGTGTTTGCCTTCCGTATGAAAAGAAGAAAAGTGGATTTGTTTTTCTGGAACCTATAGACTTAGCCCATATTAATCTTGAAAGGGTATACAGGGGATATTAAATATCATTTAAAGAAAAGATAAATCAAGAAAACTTGTCAGGAAAAATTATTAGAATCTAAGTCACTGACAAAGTTCTTACAGTCTGTTTATTCTGTACTTTAACATCACTATATCTTGCCAAACCAGTCTTCTCTGCAACTTTAACTCATCTGTTGTCTTCTCTAAGAAAACACATTTTACGAATGATTTTTTTGCCTCTGATTCTAGATAAAAATGTAAGTAGTGACCTAAACAAAATGGCAAGGTCTAAATAAAAACCAGAGGGACAGTTTTACAAATATGCAATATTCATGAAAAGAAGCTCTCATTACTGTCAATCAGCTGATTAATATAAATTGTTTATAAATTCCCCCGCAAAGCTAAATGATTCTTCTGGATTTATTGTATTTATTTAAGTATTTTGAAGCTGCCCTTCACCATGGTAGATGAACATTTTATCTAAGAAATTGGCAAGACCCACATAAAAATGATTTAGCCATTTTTCTAATGCTAAGTCAATCAGTACTAGAAACAAGGAAACAAGAAGCATGGCCTGGCAGTTAAAGGGCAAGAACTTCTGGGCTCTATTTGCAGCTCTGCTTTTTGACTCACTGTATGATCTTTGGTGAGTCACTTATTCTTCCCTTAGTTAAGTATGTATTGTTAACATTATGTAATATAGCCAAGTAGGAACTGGTGTCTCCATTTTGAACAGTCATCAGTTCAGTCACAAATAATACATATATATTATCTAAAAATAAGTAATTTGTAGCTCTCATGAAAGCTAAATCCTCCCCAGACTATAACGTTTCAGTTAGAGCTAAAGAAGTTTTAATTAATTGTGCTCTGTCCAAATGAGAAACACTTGATTCCTGCAAAAGTTCTTAAAAGGCAGGGAAGACAGCAGCGTATTGACTGAATAAGGAGGGGGCATATGATGGGATTTCATGGGCAGAGGGAGTCAGGAATCACAATGAAGGGATTTTTTTTTCTAAATGAAGCTTTCACTAATCTTAAAAATAACTGAAACCCTGTTGAATTTATCGGTGACAGAAAGTTATTCTCTGTACTGATAGAGAAATGCAAGAGTATTCCACAACAGGTTATATCACAGAAAATATTTCCCCCCAAAGTAATATCATAGTAATATTGGATCTCTGTTCCACTCTACCTAGCCCAAGAGTAGACAATAATTTTTGACAGGGGGCCACTCCAAGATTTTGGAAAGTGGTTGAGGGCTGCACACTTCCAGTATATTAATCGAGGAATTCCAGGGTTTGGATGGAGGTTGGGTGCAGAAGGGAGCTTGGCTTACGAGATTGGGGCGCAGAAGGGAAAATGGGGTCTGAGAGGGAGTTTGGGTGAAGGAGGCTGTTGTGACCCAGGCAGGGGACTGGGATGCAGGATTTTCAGATGTGACCCAGGGTAGGAAGGGATTGTGATCTGGGGCAGGAGATTGGGGTGCTAGATCTGGGAGCGGGTATGGATGCAGGAGGGGGCAGAGGGTTGGGTAAGGCAAGTGCTAGGATGCCAGAGGCAGGCTCTGGCTGGGAGGCGCTTACCAACAGAAACCAGAGGTAGACTGTCTGCTCTGCTCTGGGCATGAGGGGGAAAGAGAGGGTGCTAAGGGGGAAGGGAAAAGGCTTCCTACACTGCCCCTGCTCCCAACAAAAATTCTCAGCTCCTATTGCCTGCAAACTGAGAGATTGGCCAGTGGGCGCAAAGAGATTTTGCTGGGGAGCAGGAACAGCATGAAAAGTCTCTCTCCTCCTTCCCCCAGCTGTCCGGAATGGAGAACAGCTGGCTTTTTAAAGTGTGAGCTGTTCTCTGCCTAAGGGTTCCAGTGAGGCAGCTGCAGGCTGGATCTGGTGGCTTGGTGGGCCGAATCTGGCCCATTGAGAGCCTCTTTCACCCCCCTCCCCGACATAGTCTCTTATATTGCACCCATTTCAGTCGTGTTTAAGTACCAACCAAACTCACATTCCTTTGTGCTACCTCTTCCTGCCATTAATATTTATGCTCCGAAATAATTCTGGGGTTGCAGAATTCAATAGCAAGACACAGCTTAGTACAGGGCCAGGTATTTCACTATGTTAACATCATCTGTGTAATTCTACAGGAAGGTGCTATCCACAGCAAAAAGGTCTGGGTCCAAATAGCAAAGGGTTCCTCTTAAATCTAACAAAATTGAAGCCTCCTACTCCCAAATTTCTAGTGCCACTAAGGACTTTCCCATACTGGGCCAGCCTTAGTAGGTAATACTTCCATATCCTTCAGCACAGAGGCTTTGTATGAATCAATTCATCACAGTTAATGCAAGCAATTAATTCACAACAAATTAACAAAAAAATAGTTGTGATTAATCACAGCTGTAATCACACCGTTAAACAAAATACAATTATCAATTTATTATAAATACTGTTTTGTGGATGTTTTTCTAAATTTTTAAATATATTCATTTCAATTAAAATACAAAATACAAAGTGCACAGTACTCACCTTCTATTATTTTTGATTGCACATATTTGTACTGTAAAAAGAAAAAACAAAAGAAATAGTATTTTTCAATTCACCTCATACAAATCCACTCACTCCTCTTCTTTTGTTCATCTGAGCAAATTGCTGAACAAGCTTATTTACACATATGGGAGATCATGCTGCCTGCTTCTTGTTTACAATGTCACCTGACAGTGAGAACAGGCATTTGATGACATTACTGTAGCTAATATTCCAAGATATTATGTGCCAGATGTGATACACATTCATAAGCCCCTTCATGCTGTGACTTGTAGGCGCTAAAGTTTTACATTGTTTTGATTTTGAGTGCAGTTATGAAAAAAAATCCTACGTTTGTAAACCGAATGTTCATGATAAAGGAATTGCACTACAGAATCTTCATTGGAATGGACACAAGGGCGACTGGTGCCTGCAGAGGGAGGGGTACAGGAAGGGCCACCTTGAGCATCAGGGGGATGTGGAGTACCCCATTTAGCAATTACAATTTTGGCATGGGCACAGGGAGGCAGTTCACCTCCTGAGTGTCAGCACAAGTCACCTATGAAGGGAACCAGTAGCATAAAGGATCCTTGAAAAGAATCCTTACCAGAAAGAATGCACTCCTTGCTGGGGAAAAGAGCCCTATTCTCATCTCAGTTCAGTTCCACTACCCAACCAATTCAGAGCTTATTTACAGAAATGGAGGCACCCAAAGTCTTACTGGAGGGTTACTAGATAAAACGCTTATGCAGATACTTT